ATCACAACGAAGCCCAAAAATGGGTGAATGAATGGATTGCCTCGAAAGACACCACGTTCTACCGTCGTGGGATTGTTCTGTTGCCAGAGAGATGGGAAAAAGTAGTAGAAAATGGAGGAAATTACTTTGATTAAAGTATTCATTCATCTTCTCTTCGAAACAAATCAATTTTGGAGACGAAAAAACGGCCGGAATTAAGTTTAACACCTAATTCATATGTACTTATACGAACGTGTGAATAAACATATGAATGTACGTATGTACATATAAACGTATGTTTAAACGTATGTATGAACGTATGTTTGTATGAACGTATGTATATATGAACGTATGTACGTACCATATAAACGTATGTACGTATAAACATATATTCAATATGTACATATGCACTTTAAATACGTACGTATATTCAATATCTTTTGCGGAACACTGAACCTCTTATGGTCGCAGACGTTCTCTCTCGCATCTGCGTCGTCTCTCAGACATTCCGCACTACTATTGTATGCTACCGATTTACTACTTATCCACTACTATTGTACTCAGTCTTGTATTGCATATTCAATCTTGTATTTATGCTACGTCATGTTACGTTTTTATATTCTGTAATCCAACAATTCGTATTATATTGTAAATTTACGTTTTATGTTCGCTTTTGCGCTTTTTAAACTAATTCTTTACTCTTCTGGTAGGCATTAGAGCAGCAGACTTTTCTGGTGCTTCACCATTTTGTACACCAGTGCACTTAATTTTTCTCGTTTAACTCTGTAGTCGTCATGTTTTTTTTGTTATTTTGTAAATAATACATAAATAAAATAATTAATTAAAAAAATTTAATTTAATTGAAAATGTACGCATGCACATTAAGTACGTACGAGTACGTACACACGTACATAATGTATGTACGAATGAACGCAGATACGATTTTTTTAACATTACCGTTCAAAAGTTAAATAATTAATAACAATTGAGCAATCCATTACAAACATCTGGACCTTAATCGGGCCACTTTCAATACAAATGCAGACAAATTATGACTTTACAAACTATAAGATACGAATCCGGCAATGATTGTGTGTCATTTTTGTTTATTTGATCTTCAGCAATTGCTTTTTTTTCACGCGGATCTTCGAAACCTTTCTGATTGCAGAACTTGTTACAATACGGGTTGCGTATAATGCAAAATTGTTATAACTTGGTACATGTCTGTACATAAATCCGTCAACTGTGTTTTTTATGTTCGAACTAAAATATTGGAGCACGTATATTTTGAATTGTACCAATATGTAAACAGTATGAGTGAAGAAATTAAATAATTTTTTTACGCCAAAAGTTGTATTATCAGTAAATTCAGTATTGTAAGTACTTCTCACAAAATTTATGATAAAGCTTCTATTATAGTATGTAAATAATATTGAAAACCAACAACTGGTGAGTGAACATTGTTTTTCAAGGAGACACATATATAAACGAACAATTATAATATAACATTTCATAATACTATTAATACTCCTATAGTTCTAGCCATGACTGCGTTTCAAGATTAGAGAGGACTTTATTTCATAGTTTATAGAATTGTCTAGTGTACTTGTATAAATTCATACTGAAATATTTAAGTAATAAGATGAATTTTGGTCGATTATAGGATTTCATTTACCTAACTGATGGAATTAAAATTTATTTATCTAGTTATAAAAATTTTTTTATACGGTTTATAGCATATACATATATCATTTCTTGGTAAAGTTTATTTATAAGAATGCCATACCAGGGACAAAAATCTTTTATAAATAAAATTAATACTTCCTGTAATTAAGGTAATTAAATTTTATAAGATACATGTAAAACAAAAAAAATTAAAGGCATAAAAAAGAGCTAAATTAATAAAGTATTATTGTATGAGAATATATTTAGAAACGGTATAGCTAATGTCATGAATTTACCGTTGCATCAGTAGAAAATTTATGATTGATCACAATAATGAGACAGAACCATTTAAATATTCTATTATAACAATAAATAAT